TGGATGGGTTGTTTGTGACACTTACTACAGCCACCAAGGCGGGCCGGTAATCAGTGCAGAGCAGGTTCCAGTACGCCACGTCTGGGCTGCTTGTTGGTGTGATGTTCAGCGCACAGTGCAGGTAGGCAGGATGGAGGGCAAGATTATGCTGTGTGGAGCTAAGATGGGTATGGGAGAGAGGAGAGAGGAACAGGAGCGAAAAACATACAAGCAAACAAAAAAGCATGCTCATAGAGCTTGTCGTTGTAGTGAAGAGATCAGAGACTATGAAATGAAGGAAAACAAAAAGGGGAAGAAGAAGAAAAAAAAAAGAAAATAATGAATAAATAAAAATGAGAAAGAAAAAAGAAAAGAAAACCTCCCAGGGATCCCACCGGTGTGGCTACGAGGTTAGGGTTAGTTGTTCCCATGTGTTGAAGTACAGCCTGGCTAGAAGGCATAGAGGTGTCACTCAGTGCCAGGTATTCAGGGGACAGGCAGAGAAGGAAGGTATAGAGAGATGAGAAACTGAGTAATGAAGAAAGACAAAAAGGGAAAAAGAGGGATAACAAAACAAATTAAAGAAAAAAAAGAACAAGAAACCCCCCCTGAAAAAACAGAAAAAAACACACAAAAAAGAAATGCTCTCAGGGACCCCGCTGCGTGTCTACGCAAGCTGATGGGGTAGGTCCCAAGCTGTGCCACACCGCCCAGGCTGAACAAGCTCCCAACTCGGGAAAAGAAAAAGAAAAACAATTCAAAACAAACAAACAAAACAAAGCCCCAGGATTCCACCAGCGCTGCAGCACGGACCGGGAAGCAGTCCCACACTCGAGCGGAGCCCTATGGCCCCCCAGGAAGAAGCAAAGATGGCACCCAGAGCCAGGCACTTGAGCGAAAGGAGGGGGAGGCGGGGAGAGGCAAGGAAGAAATCAGAAGAAGCGGCAAAAAGCAACAGTAGCAGCCAACAAATGGCACCCAGGGAGTCAGCCAGTGTGGGCGAGTGGAATCCAAGCAGCCTCTGCTTCCCGGCCAAGAGACTGTGGCTGCGGGAAGCAGAGAAGTCCAGTTGGGGTTGAAGAAGGGTGGGGGTGGGAAAGCATATATCGTTTGTTACCAGTTATTCTGTCTCCTGTTGGAAGCTCCGTGAAGCTGCTTTCTCATACCCCCCGTTCGCTGGTCTCTGATAGGAGTCCAAGATGGCGGATCCGTGCTCTGTTAGCTGATTGGGGACCTCTGTATGTATGTCTCCTCGCTCTCTGTTCTCTGTCAGTTTCTTATTCCATTTGGTGCTTGGCTGAGTTCCTTTTCTTCGTTTGATGGTTAGGGTTTCAGGATTGCTGTTTTGTCTGTCTGGCTTAGTTTTTCAGGTCTTTGCTGTGGACGGATGGCATGGTGCTTCTGCCTAGAGCACCATGTTGCCGGAAGTCCTTGTAAATCATTTTGAAGCTTGTTTTTAAGCTCTGCCAGGAAAGTTCTACAATTACCTTTTTTTAGGGCTAATTTAGCACCTCTTATAAAGTGTGGCTTTTCTGGTATTGCTGTTGAATGCCTCAAGTATGTGATTTGCTCTTTTTGCTCTGATTTGTTGGGACTTGAACATCTCCCAGCTGTATTGAAAGTGTCGGTAAGTAGTTCGGCTTATAGTTCCTCAGTAATGGTTTTCTCCATAGTATTCTTTTCCTGGCTTGTGGAGTCTTATCCTATGTTTATGGAGCTTAATATTCAGCCACATATTTAAAGAGACCCATTTGCAGTTTTATGTACCTTTTTTCCCCCATATATTTTATCCTTACTGTGCTTCACAAAGTCTTGCCACCTCAGCCTCTCCAAACTCTGATCTCTGTCTCATCAACTCATGAGGCCACTGTTTGTCACAGAGTCTGGTATTGCTTCCAGACAGAAAACTGGGCTATTGTAGGATTCACCTTAATTGTTTCCCTTTTCTTACCTATCACAGTTGTGTGCTAGTGTCTGAAAACAGTTGTTCTGTGTATTTTGTCCACTTCTCTGGTTGTTTACAGTAAAAAGAATTGTCCATTACTATTGTTCATGGGTTGGATCTAGGTAACTTTTTAAAACCACATACTTGTGTGCTTGCTATTCCAGACTTACTCGATTAAAATTTCCTAGGAAATACTGGCTAGAAATCTGTATTAAAATATCTCCAAGCAATTTTGAAGCAAAGCCAGATTTTTGAATGACCAAATTAGGTAATCCAATAGTCCTTTCTCATTCTAAAATTCTATGACATTTATGAACAGTTAAGATACATAAAGCCCTTGGAAGCTACTGAACTTATAATCAGAAATAAGAAACATATGCATTATCTTATGAGCAGATGCAATTTCTAAATAGGTATGGATCTAGCAAGTATAAATTCAATCCCTTCTTAAAAATAGTAGCCATTTCCTAGCATCTTTCATCGTTATTTCTGTGTTAGGAGGAAGTGGTAGGCACTCTTCTAAGCACTTTCCATGTATTGTCTCATCCTTTTGTAGAAGATACTATTATTACTCCATTCGCTAAGTAAGTAATTTAGGCATGGAAAGATTAAATAACTTGCCCAAGCCTACACTACTATGTCAGTGGTGGAGATGCGATTTGAACCCTGACCATCTAACTCCAGACCTTGAGCTTGTAACTGCTTTTCTATACCACACCAAAAGATGCTCTGTAGTTAGATAAATCAAGAAATTCATCCGTCATCACACTGATCATATTTCAGTTATTTTTGTTTTTTACCTGTCTGTCTACCCCTTTAGGCTGTGAACTCTTTAATATAGGAGATTTTATCTTTAATTTCTGTATCTCAGTGCTTATTACACATTTAACATACAATAGATGCTAAATAAATGTTTGCTGAATGGCTGTTTCTTTTCTGTGATTGTTATAAATGTTAAGTAAGAATTCTAAAGTGGAATTGTGTAAATATAAATCAGGTTTTTCTGTAAGATTAGAAGATCAAGATATTACCATTTTTGTTATATTTAGCTTTTCTTTATTTGTTTGATGGCTTTATTTAGGTGAGTATTCAAAATAATTTCTGTTTTTTCTGAGTAAACATTAAGTAATCTTTGTGAAATTAGGAATGAACTACAATTTCAACTAAAAAAGAAAAGTAAATGCTTGATTCGTTTGCTTTAATTGCCAATTTTCAGAGTAAGACATATTGATATAACAGTCATCTACAATGATGGCAAAATTTCTCTCCCTTTCTTTTTTGAGTGTCATATAGAATCATGGATTATTGAGGTATAATGTACCCATTGTAAGTGCGGAATGATTTTTAGTAAGTTTATGAAGTTGTGCACTCATCACCACCGTCAGTTTAAGAACATTTTCTTCATCTAGAAACTTCCATTTTTAATCAATTCCTGCTGCCATCCCCAGCCCCGGGCAAACACTGACTTGCTTTCTGTCTCTGTAGATTTACCTTTTCTGGAAATTTCATGTAAATGGAACCATACAACATGCAGTCTTTTGTGTCTGGCTTCTTTCATTTAACATGTTTTTGAGGTTCATCCATGTTGTAGCATGTTTTAACTAGTTTGTTCCTTTTTATTGCTGTATAGTATTCTGTTATATGGATATACTACATTTTGTTTTTCCATTTATCAATTGATGAACATTTGAATTCTTTTCAGATTTTGGCTATTATGAATAATGCTGCTATGAACATTAATGTACATGGCTTTGTGCAGACATGTGTTTTCATTTCTCTTGGATAGATGTTTAGGAATGAAATTGCTGAGTTGTATGTTAAGTATATGTTTAACTTTTTAAGAAAATGCCAAACTGTTCTAGAAAGTATGTGTGCTTTTCCAACAGCAGTTTATGAGGGTTCCAGTTTCTCCACATCCTTGCCAACACTTTATATTGTCAGTCTTCTTTATTATAGCCATTCTAATGGGTGTGTATTGAAAATTTGCGTTTCCCTAATGACTAATGATGCTGAACATCTTTTCATGTGATTATTTGCCATTCGTATATCTTATTTGGTGAAATGTCTATTAAAATTTTTTGCTTACTTTAAAAATTGAGTTGTTATAAATTGTATTAAGTTGTAAGAATTCTTTATATAGTATGTATACAAGCCCTTTATCAGATACATTATTTGCAGATATTTTCTCCAGTCTGAGCATATATTTTTATTTATTAGTGGTGTCTTTTGAAGAACAAATGTTTTTAACTTGGATAAAGTCCAATTTATCGTTTTTTTTCTTTTATTGACCTTGCTTTTGGTATCATATCTAAGAAATTTATACCTACCTCTCAGTTGTGAAGATTTTTTTCTTATCTTTTCTTTTATAAGTTTTATAGTTTTAGTTCTTATATTTAGGTTGATAATCCATTTTGAGTTAATTTTTGTGTATGGTGTGAGGGAAGGATCTAAATTAATACTGTTTTTGCATAGAACTCTTGGAATTTTATTTTTCTAATTAGGCTGGCTCCTTTGTCCTTTGGGCATGTCCCTATTTATCTTTGGGTACATCTGTGTGTTTTGGCTCATCTTGTATTTCCCCTGCTCCATGCCTGAAATCAACCATTTCTCCATTGGCCCTTGGCTCCTTTGGTGCATTGAACACTGTGGGTGCTCCTTGCTATTACGGTAACAATTGAGTCTAACCTTTTCAGTGGACAGACCTATGTAATATAACTTCTCAAAATCATGAGTTTATATTGATGTTTTTTCATTCCAATTTTAGAGTTGCAGATTTGCTTCTTTGATTTTATATTGTTTTCTGGTTTGTTACTTAAAATTTTTTTATTACAGTTTTAGTGGTGTTCAAATGAGTTTTTTCATTCCACCACTGGCCCTTTTGTCTCCACATACATTTTAATTTCGTGGAGGTCCAAACCTGTGACCATTTAATTAATGAGGTGAGAATCCAATGAAATCACCAGAGTAAAGAGGGAAAAATATCTAGAACCTTGGTAGAGAAACTACTCTCTACAAATTATGTAGACTAAGAAAGAGACATTTCTCAGGCCTTCCCCCTTTTTTCCTCATTTTGTAGTTTGGAATGGTCAGCCGTGATTGTGGATGAAGCTCATAGAATCAAGAATCCAAATGCTAGAGTAACAGAAGTTATGAAAGCTTTAAAATGCAATGTCCGCATTGGCCTCACTGGAACCATTCTTCAAAACAACATGAAGGAACTGTGGTGTGTGATGGACTGGTGAGTGAAAATACTTTTTTGAGAAAGTCACCTAATACTTATATAGTTTAATGTTACCTTGTTTGCTAATTTTTAGTATTTGAATAAACCAATTACTTATCTGTTTACAGAAGTATTTGATCCAAACATGCTATCCCACATAGAGTCCCATGAAAACCTCTGCACATGGCTATCTCCTTTATTTTTTGGTGTTATAGTGCTCATTCTCCAGCTTACCACCTTTTTGTGAATCTTGCTTTGATTTTCAACTTCAGTATTTTCCTGTGTTAATACTATAATTTAAAGCCTGTCTTTCTGTATTAGTTTTAGTCCCTCAAGTAACTATTCAAGCTAATTTACCAAATCCACCATCTTCTTATTGTTATAAACTAAAACTGGCATGAAGAAAGAACATTCTGTTTTCTTGGCTTTTGTTGTTGCTGTTAGTATATTTATTAAAAGCAAAAAGAAGTTGATATTTTTCTTTTTAGATACTTTAGCCCTAACATTTTCTTATTGCCTTTATCAAGGGCTGTGCCAGGACTTTTAGGTAGCAGGATCCACTTTAAGAAGCAGTTTTCTGACCCAGTAGAACACGGTCAAAGACACACGGCAACGAAAAGAGAGCTAGCTACTGGCCGAAAAGCCATGCGCAGATTGGGAAAAAAGATGTCTGGTTGGTTTCTTAGGCGTACCAAGACTCTCATCAAGGATCAGTTGCCTAAGAAGGAAGACCGGGTGAGAATTGCATTTGTGTTTATTGTTAATTTCTTGTTACGTTCTATTATTTTTTCCTTAAAATTTTCCATTTTGAGGTAAATATCTTCTGTGGTATTGTATAAACACTTTTTTTTTTTTGCTTTTTATTCTGTATGGAAAAAAAAAAACTGTTATATGTAGAATTTAGAAAATATTAGTTGAGCCAGTTGCTTTCCTTGCCAACTTTACTAACCTGTTAGCTAACAAGTTTATCGTTAAAAAAAAACCAGTACTATCGAGTCTATTCCAACTCATAGCGACCCTATAGGGCAGAGTAGAATGGCCCCACAGGATTTCCAAGGAGTGGCTGGTGGATTTGAACTGCTGACCTTTTGATTAGCAGCCGAGCTCTTAACCACTGCGCCACTAAGGCTCTAGTTTATTGTTAGTACACGTTAAACTCATTTCATTTCTCTTAGTTTAGCACAGGGAAGTTTTTGATACAATTCTTCCTCCATGAAGAAGGAAAAGCTTTTCTCCCTACTGTGTTTTCTGTTCACGTTTTGCTATTCCCACACAGTCCATTGCCCACCACCTGGTATATCCTTTGGTACCTACCTACAAGATTAAAACGGTTAAGAGTTTTTTCCCCCAGAGGTTTGTTTCTTGTAGAATGCTATTTGCTGTTACATGAATAACCTAATTTTAAGAATTTGTAGGAAAATTATATTCCATTAATTATTCAAGAATATTTGAGTTGTTGACCTTCAGAGGATTTTTTTTTTTTTAAATATAGTGGTTCTCTTTGATAGTTTTTAATCTTGTTGTTCTTCTAGTTCAGGCAGTAGAATAAAGGTTCTATAAATTACTATAAACTAAACTGAATTAATGTGGTCCTAAATAAGGGCAGTTCTATCACATGCCTTATAGTCTTTGGATATTCATCTGATTACTTTAAAAAAATATATTTGAAAGGAAAGAAATATGATACTGATATGCAAGTTGGGGAAATTAATACAGCATTTGATTTTTAATATTTATCTAAAGCAAATATTATTATTATTGAATTGGAATACTTTATGAGCCTCACCTTTAAAAATGTTTTATGTAATTTTATGTGTATTTTTTAGTTGTTTATCTAGTAAGAGAGTCCCTGGGTGGTGCAAATGGTTAAGCGCTTGACTACTAGCCAAAAGGTCGGCAGTTTGAACCCACCCAGAGGCCCTCGGAAAATGGGGCCTCAGAAGATCAGCTTCTGAAAGGTCACAACCTTGGAAACCCTGTGGAGTAGTTCTGCTCTGCACACATGGGGTCGTCATCAGTCAGAACTGACTCGATAGCAACTAACAACAACAATCTAGTAGGAACAACATAATAGTAAATATACGACAAGAAAGTTGTGCTTAGAGGTTTAGTGCTTGGGCTCTGGAATCAAATATAGGCTTGAATCCTGGTTCCACTACTTATGCGTTTTGTAACCTTGAGGAATTTGCTGAGTCTCTGAAACCCTGGTTTCTTCATCTGTTAAACGAGAATGATAATGATGCCTACCTCACATGGTTGTTGTGAAATGCAAGACACAGAAGTGTTCAGTAAATGTTACTTTTTTTTTTTTTAATAACAACTCAAAATACCCTCCACACTTTAATCATGGACTATAATCTTCTAAGTTCTCTTTTAATGCTTCTTATATGTGCTTATATTTAAGATTAGGGTCAAGATGTTCCTAGTATTTTATATATACTTTAACACTGTTTTATATAAGCCAAAACCAAACCAAACCAGTTGCCTTCAAGTTGATTCTAACTCATGGCAACCCCACGTGTTAAAGAAGAACTTCATTCCATAGGGTTTTCAAACCTGTGACCTTAGGGAAGTAGATCTCCAGGTCTTTCTTCCAAGGCACCTCTGGGGGGGTTCAAACTGCCAACCTTTTGGTTAGTAGTTGAGCACTTAACCATTTGCACCCCCCAGGGATTCTTGTTCAGACACACATATTTGTCGTTTTTTATTGTAGTAGTATTCTGTTGTAGTGATATAAAGACATAACATGTAAATATTTAAATAGATGGTTTCCTCCCTTGTTCACATTCCTCAAAGTCCAATTATGGATATAGTTAGTTTTAGGACCCTAGTTACATACAGCTGTATCTAGAAGGATTTATGAATTTCCACTGCTACCCGAAATACAGAGTAAATTGATTCTTACATAACCTATCCTAAGCTATTGCCGTTGAGTTGATTCTGACTCAGCGACTCTATAGGACAGAGTCAGACTGCCCCATAGAGTTTCCAAGGCTGTAAATCTTTACAGAAGCTGACTGCCAACATCCTTCTCCTGGGGACCAGTGGATGGGTTCAAACCACTGACCTTTTTGTTAGCAGCTGAGCACTAACAGGGCTCCTTCCCCCATAACCTTGTTGTTATTAGGTGCCGTCAAGTCGGTTCTGACTCAAAGTGACCCTGTGTACAAGAGTCTAATTCTGAAAAAAATTGACCAGTGAAAACCTTATAAATAACAGCAGAACATTGTGTGATATAGTGCCGGAAGATGAGCCCCTCAGTTTGGAAGGTTTTCAAAAGATGACTGGGGAAAAGCTGCCTCCTTAGAGTCCATCTTAATGACGTGGTTGGGGTCAAGCTTTTGGGACCTTCATTTGCTGACGTGGCGCAACGCAAAATGAGAAGAAACAGCTGCAGACATCCGTTAATAATAGGAATATGGAATGTACGAAGTATGAATCTAGGAAAATTGGAAGTTGTCAAAAATAAAATGGAATACATAAAGATCAATATCTTAGGCATTAGTGAGCTGAAATGGACTTGTATTGGCCATTTTGAATCAGGCAATCATATGGTCTACTTTGCCGTTGGAAAATTGGAAACAAAAAAGAAAGATTGGTAGTTGGAAAATATGGCCTTGGTGATAGAAATGACACCAGAGATCGCATGATAGAATTTTGGAAGATCAATGACTTCTTGACTGCAAATACCTTTTTTCAACAACATAAACAGCGATTATACACATGGACTTCGCCAGACAGAATACATAGGAATCAAATTGACTACATCTGTGGAAAGAGACGATGGAAAAGTTCAGTATCAGTCAGAGCAATGCTGACTGTCAGAACAAGACTGGGGCTGACTGCAGAACAGACCATGAATTGCTCATATGCAAGTTCAAGGTGAAGATGAAGAAAATTAGAAAAAATCCACGAGAGCCAAAGTATGACCTTGAGTATATCCCACCTGAATTTAGACACCATGTCAAGAATAGATTTGATGCATTGAACACTAATGACTGGAGACCAGATGAGTTGTGAAATGACAGCAAGGACATCGTACATGAAGAAAGCAAGAAGACTTTAAAAAGACAGGAAAGACAGAAAAGCCCGAAATGGATGTCAGAAGAGACTCTGAAACTTGCTCTTGAACGTAGAGTAGCTAAAGCGAAAGGAAGAAATGATGAAGTAAAAGAGCTGAACAGAAGGTTTCAAAGAGCAGCTTGAGAAGACACAGTAAAGTATTATAATGAAATGTGCAAAGACCTAGAGTTAGAAAACCAAAAGGGAGGAACACACTTGGCATTTCTTAAGCTGAAAGAACTGAAGAAAAATTCAAGCCTTGAGTTGCAATATTGAAGGATTCTGGGGGGAAAATATTAAACAACGCAGGAAGCATCAAAAGAAGGTGGAAGAAATAAACAGAGTCACTATACCAAAAAGAATTGGCCAACATTCAACCATTTCAGGAGGTAACATATGAACAGGAAAACTGATGGTACTAAAGGAAGAGGTCCAAGCTACACTAAATGCATTGGTGAAAAACAAGACCCCAGGAATTGATGGAATACCAACTGAGATGTTTCAGCTAACAGATGCAGGGCTGGAGGTGCTCCCTCGTCTATGCCAAGAAATTTGGAAGACAGTTACCTGGCTGGCTGACTGGAAGAGATCCGTATTTGTATCCATTCCAAAGAAAGGTAATCCAACAGAATGCAGAAATCATCGAACAATATCATTAATATCACACACCAGTAAAATTTTGCTGAAGATCATTCAAAGGTTATTGCAGCAGTACATCAACAGGGAACATCCAGAAATTCAAGCCAAATTCAGATGAGGGCGTGCAACCAGGGATATCATTGCTGATGTCAGATGGATCTTGGCTGAAAGCAGAGAATACCAGAAAGATTTTACCTATTTTATTGACTATGCAAAGGCATTTGATTGTGTGGATCATAACAAATTATGGATAAGATTACAAAGAATGAGAATTCCCATAACCTTAGTGGCATTGTTTTATCCTATTCTTTTCTTGAATTTGGATACAAAATAGCAACTTGTAATTGCTTTAACCTTTATTTAGTTAATTCTTACCTTTACTAATCTTAGGAGTTTATACCAAGATATTAAATACAAATACTCTCTCTTCGGTTTTCAGTATTATAAAGAGGTTTTTTTTTTTTAAACTTTTTCCTGTTTCCAAGTATTTCAGTAAGTATTGCCCATTTCATTGTTCTTAAATCTTTCATTTTTTTTCCTTATCATGTTTTTTGTTCAACCTAAATTTTAATCATTTATTTGCATGGTGGGCTAATATGGAGCTTTGAAAAGACCAACAATATGTTGAGAAATATGTAAGGAAATGGCATTACTTAGTTTTCATATTTTGATACCTTTTAATTAAAAAATAAATGAACCCTTTGAGATTTATTTGAAAATGAAGTTATAAGTATAGAGTGGGTTGGGAGGCCAATAATATAAGAGAATATGGAGAAATTGTCATAACACTAACTAGAGGAAAGGAAATTAGTTTATGAGCAATTTTCACTGTTATAATCTATAAAATCTGATGTGCATGGTGATTATTATTGCTAAAAAAAGGTACTAATAATTAACTTGTGTTTTATCTTGACAGATAGTGTATTGTTCTCTGACAGATTTCCAGAAAGCTGTCTATCAAACAGTGTTAGAAACAGAAGATATAACTTTAATACTTCAGTCTTCTGAACCTTGTACCTGTGGCAGTGGCCGAAAAGGGAGAAATTGTTGTTATAAGGCAAGCATTACAGTATGATATCTTTACTATCTTGCTTTTAATTATGTAGTACTCTATTCTAGTGTCAGAGTAAGCCACAAATAAAATAACTTTTCCTCTGATAGGTCTTTGACTTTGGAAGCTGTTAAAAAAAAAAAAAAAGTAGTAGTTTTCAAAAATATTTTAAGGTATCAAATAGTAATTACATACAAAATACAATATTCAAATATTCTTTCAAAAATTTGTTTTTGAAAGTAGACTTCAATTTTATATTCTCCCTGTCAACTTTTCTTGGGAAGTATACTACTTTCATCTTGAAACTTTATTTCATTTTCAGGAAGTTTCTCATAATCTATTAATAGCAAATTAAATTACTTTTTTTTTTGACTCTAAAGAACAGAAATTTATTTTCTCACAGTCCTGGAAGCTAAAGTCCAAACGAGGGTCTCGGTCATGTCAATTCCTTCCTCATCTGTAGCCCTCGGCATTCCTTGCTTCCTTGGCTTGTAGATGGTCCTCCCATGGGCATCTGTCTTCCCCCTTTTGTTCGCACCTCTGTGTCCATTTTGCTCTTTTTATAAATTAAAAGCGATTAGGGTTTGGATCCACTCGATACTGGTAGGACCTCAACTGGATTAACCTATTACATTATGCTAGATTGCATTGTGGAGTGTGATTACGTTACATTAGGTTAGATTACAACTACGGGTATAAGGATTAGGATTCTAACACATATTTTTGGGGGAACACAATTCAATCCATAACAAGTCTTTCTAGAACTGTAGGAGTTAAAATGAGTAGGATGAGGGAGATAAGGATTGAGAGAAAAGGTAGACATATATGTGGGGCTTACCAAGGAGCAGGGATATTATTTTGAAAGTGATAGGAATAAGTTGTTGAAGTTTTTTAAGTAGGGAAGGGAGGAGATTAAATATATACTTTGAAAGGTCTCAATCTCATACCTCCTGTTGTTGTTAGTTGCCATTGAGTCACCTCTGATTCATGGTGACCTTATGTATAACAGAATGAAATGTTGCCCAGACCCGTGCCATCTTCATGATCATTGGTATGTTTGAGTCCAATTCCATGTGTAGGAGGATGCATTTGAGAAGATTGATGGTATCTGAAATGTGAGAGGCTTGAAAGGAGACAACAGATTTGAGAGGCATTCAGGAGGTTAATGAAATAGAATTACCTAATTGAATGTGGGGAATGAATGAAAGAGAAGTGCAGTGTAACAATATATTAAAAGTAACTCTTTGATAGGCTTAAGATATTATTCTGATGTGCAGTAAGTGTCAATTTAATATTAATTGTGGATTGGTAGAATAGAGAAAGTATATTTTACTTTTATTTAGAAATATATTCATTTGTGCATTTTTACTTTCTATTTCCTGCTTTCTTTTCACCTCTGTTTTATTATCAGATTATCTGCCACATATCCATGTACAGAGAGGGGCCCTAAGTAAATATTTATCTAGACTGACATCTGTTCCATCTCTCATTTATTTTGCTGCTTTTAACCACTTCCCTTTTTTGTTATAGCTCCATTTCCTAGGAAGCCTTGCAGCATTAAGTGGGTAGAGAGAGTAAAGGAATTGTTATGATACTGTCACTTGTACCAGAGTGTTGTATTAGGGACCTCTTAACTGCAGCATTTCTATCACTGTGTATCATGAGCCTAAAGACTTTCTGGATTGGGGACTTTCCCTTTTCTTTTATTAAAAACATCACTGTAGTCTAATTGACCAAAAGTATAATTTCACATAGCAATTTATGCATATTTTGTATAAACAGTTGACCATCTTTTTCTCAGAATAAATATTATTGTGATATAAGCAATTACATATCTATGTTAATTCTTCACACCTCTTCATTTATTGACTATCTCATTATCTGACATTTCGCATTTACGACAATAGTAAAAAATCTACTATTCGACTAGTTTACACATTAAAAACGTAACATCTGGCAGTAATAAATGCCGAAGTACGAGATGAGAGTAACACTGGCTTTGATAGTTAAGGTTATGTGTCAACTTGGCTGAGCCATGATTCTCAGTGGTTTGGGAGTTATGTAATGATGTAATTTGGCGATTATGTAATCATGTAACTTGGCAGTTATCTAATGATGTAGTCATCCTCCATTTTGTGATCTGATGTGGTCATCTTCCATTTTCGCATAGCACCAGTTTCCCATAACAGCCTGGTCTTTGGAACCTAATCGTATTGATAAGTGAGGAGAGGGTGTACTTGTTTTTATTTTCTGTATTTTTCTTATTACAGATCAATTCACAAGGTGAAACAGTGAAAACCTTGTATTTCAGTTACCTTGCAGTCCTTCAGAAAGTAGCTAACCATGTCGCTCTACTTCAGGCTGCGAGTACTTCTGAACAGCAGGTTTGAGTTGGCTTTTCTTATTTGTTTGTGACGTTATTTGGTATAAATATTTCATATTTGGTATAAAATTTCTCCTAAAGGAGCCCTGGTGGTGCAAATGGTTAAGCACTCAGCTGCTAACCACTGAGTTGGAATCGACTCGATGGCACCTAACAGCAAAATAAAATTTCTTAGCCAAATATCCTTAAGTTATTTTTGTAGGAAATTTAAGAGGAAACTGACTTCCTCGTTTTTTTGTGTGTCAAGGAGTATGCACACTTGTTTTTAATCAAAGGGAGAAATTTAAGTTTTAGTTAAGAGCTTTCTATTATGCCTCTGATAATGTTCATGTATTTATTTTCTCTTAATCCTTTGATATAACTACTAAATAAGATTTGATGAGTCAGTCATATTTGCTAATAATGTATCTAATTGCATGTATCTAAACTACTAGATTAAAATGAGGATTTATAATAATCAGTATATTAAATGTTAGCAGTATTCTCCAAACTAGCAAAAATCAGTAATTTCAAAGTTTAGCCATAAATGCGTTCATTTACTTTGGTTGTTTTCAGTTGTTTCTTATTCTAGAGCACAACATAAGTAAAAGATCTTTTCTAAACACCTTTATGTTTAATTGTTTTATGTTATCTTTTTTGTGTTATAGCTTTGATGCTGTTTGAATGTAATTTTGAAATCTACCGTATTTTTACACAAATAATGCACACCTTCTACGTTTGTTTGCCAACCACACTCTCCACCTGCAAGGTATTTTTGTAAGCACTGCTATGTCAATTGTTTTTTACATGTTGTTGTAAAAAAAACAGCACACTTATGAAAACACTTGGAGTGCCGTTGGCAGACAAACAGAAAGTGTGTGTTACTTGCCTAAAAGTATGGTAAGAAGAATTTAGCGTTTTTTGATAGTTATTGTTTGCTCTTTGGAGAGTGGCTGCTTGGTTTGGAAACCTTAAAAAGTAATGATAAAGTTAGTAGTTATGTCAGTATCTAAGATTGTAGCAAAGCCATGTATGCTTAACTTATCTCTTTAAGGTTTTCTGAATTATTATTCTCACTTAGAAAAAGGTAAAATCTTCCCTCTGAATAGGAATGCCTTTTTTTTTCACAATTTCAATTTATATAATTTTACATGTTTTAAGTTGAAATCTCTTTTCTTCTACCTTTTTTCTCTCAAGAAAACACTTATCAACAACATATGTGATCGAGTATTTTCCAGATTCCCAGATTTTGTTCAGAAAAGCAAAGATGCAGCCTTTGAAACAATTTCTGACCCCAAATACAGTGGGAAAATGAAGGTATGTGCTGTCTTTCAGGTTGCATGCAGATAGTGATAATATACAAAATATTTATGAAATGGTATGGAAGGGACACCAACTAATTAGAACAAGAGAGGTGGCCAAAGACGCCTACCTGGTGGGGTAGTGTCAGTATTTATTAGCTCACTGTCCACCCTGCATACAGATAATGTGCACATGTTGGTTCTCAGCAGTAGCTGCATCAAATATACTTCAGGCTTTCCTTATGTGTGTATTGGTTTCATGCCCTCTAAAACGTATGCTATTGCATACATTTTTATGCATATTGTATGTTCAAGGAGATACCTGCCAGAAATATTAATGCTGATAAGAGGATGGGATTAGGCATTAGTTTGGAATTAGAGAAAACAACTTCTTGAAGAGTTAAAGGTGGACAAGCCCTCTATGTCTAGACTGAATTTTCTACCTCGTTTTTATTTGCCAATCTAGATTGTAAGCTTATTAAATCTTCACACTGATGGCAACGGAACATTTGTTTTACACAGGGAAACTGACCTGTAGGGGTGCTGTTCTTGATGATGCATTACTGAGGGAGGGGTGTGAAAAGTAAGGTTAGGTTTTCCAGCCACGACTGAGGCCTCTGAGCATTGCCATGGACAGGAGGCATGAAATGCTGACAACTTCTGGCCTTCTCAAAACAGAATTAGTTTGTTTAACTCCTTACAACCTATCAAGGGTGTTTATTTATGAACTTAAATATTTTTACAGAACAATCCCAACCTTAAGGTATAATTAAGAAAAAGGTAAGTTATTTCTTTTGGCAGATGCAATAAGAAGGAAGTAATTCAAAGTAATCTTTTTTTTTTCTCTTAATATTCTGGAAATATCTTTAACAGTTATACTACATAAGGCTCACCGTAGTTTAAATTACTTGAGACCTCTAAATTGTTTTAAAAACCTGTGCGTGTATTTTTTAAATAAAGAAATTTGTATTTGTGAGAATATCATGATTTACTATCACAACTAACAATTTAAATCCAATAAATTTTCTAACAATAGTAAATCTATTTTTATCATCCATTTTATTGACTTTTATTTATCTTTAAATTAAAAAAATATAAAAAACCCAATTAGTTTAGAACTGAGCCCTTACTATTCCGTAATTTAAGCCAATGAAATATTTCCAGAAATCATGGCCTCCTTTAAAAACTGCAGTATCCGTTGCTAAAGTTACACTCTTGATATTAAGTGAAATTTTATAACTGTGCATTTAATTTTCATATACGCATTGCCATCAAGTCAATTTCGACTCATAGCGACCCTATAGGACAGAGTAAAATTGCCCCATAGGGTTTCCAAGGAGCGACTGGTGGATTCAAACTGCTGACCTTTTGGTTAGCGCCCAAGTTCTTAACCACTGTGCAAATACATGATTGAAAACATACTTTTAATTAGAGTTTTGTATCTAGGAATAATGATATCTGGTTAAGATAATTACTCGATTTACTTTTTATTATGATTTTTAAAAGGGAAAAGCAAGCATAAATTGTTGCTGAAGACAGGGTAGGTGTGTTTATATGTAAAGGAAGCAAGTAACGTATTAGTTTTGTGAGAATCACTGACAAAAGAGAGAGAGTAATAAGCCAGGGATATATTTCTAGGACTGTGCTTCATCATTTGATTAACACCATGATCGGGGTTAATATACTGATCTGGTGATGCAAAACCTATAAGCTTATCATGAAATTATTGCCTATGGGGTTAAGAGTGCCAAATAACTGACTTGCATGTACTTCTTGAGCTCATGTGATAAAAGATCCTGGCCATTCTTAAAGATCAGTGTGGAGCTGCCCAGAGTCTCTGGACATCATGTCTTCTATGGCCTTCAAGACCGCAAAGCTGCGCTAATGAAGCCTAGCTCTTTCTCTTGAGTGGCAGGGTCTTTGTTGGCCTCAACTACCATGCAGGGGATGGTCACAAATTGCTCCCATTCCCCTATTAAAAATCCTTTCTTTCTTTCCCTTGGTAAATGCCAGGGTCACTGGCTGTAGGAAAAGAAAAAAAAAAAAAAGACTAAGAAATCCAGCTCAGTGGTGCTGGAATTACATAAGGGCTATGTTCATCTTTCTAGACCTATCTGACTAATTTGAGAAAAATTAGTGCTGAGATTACTTAGCTATGAGCACCCCCAAATTTAGGATCCCTTTACAGGTGGATTTTTCTGTTCTGTGGAGGACAACTGAATGATAAAGTGTTGGGTCTGTGTTGTTAAAGATGCAGACCCGTACTGTCATTTTTGAAATTTTCTTATAAGGATATTAATGTTCATTTTCATTTAGTTAGTAAGTCTGTTTTTTTAAATTAGCCTAGTAGAGACTTTCAGTCTGAGAGCGTTCACTTTTCTTATTACTTGTTTTTGTTTTTATTGTATAATATTCAAGAATACTTAAAATCACAAATAGGTATGATACCACTGCAAACAATTAGAGTGAATTTCTGTACATCTCCTTGATTTAAAATGTTAAGGGTTTATGTGAAATTCAAATGTACATACTTCATATAGAATCAATTATTTTATTAAAAAAAAGGCTAATGCAAATGAAACTTACTTTATATGTTCTCTAAATATTTAAATACTGTTTACCTAATTTGTGGCATTTTTATTCACCTTTTGATTGGCTAGCCGAATAGAATTTATTTTTTAAATTTCATAGCTTTTTTTAGGAGTAGGGGTAAAAGTTAGCATAACACAAAGGTAGTGTTATATTGAGTATAAGTTTTCTTACTTAAAAGTTTACATTTGAGTAAATAAAATTGCTTAAGTGTTTATTGCATAGTTCAGAAAAATCTTAGGCTTAGCACAGAAAATTTTTTTTTCTTTTCTTTGTGGATTGCTTTTCCATGGTGTTCTGGAGCTGTCACTGCCAGATGTGGAAATGCCTATTTAAAAAATAACAGTGTCACTATTATACACAAGTCTTGGGATTATTTGCTTCCTCCCAGAAAATACCATGTGTGTGGACAGATCGTTGGCATTTTGAGGTCAGAATAGAATCTGGAAGTCAGGGCTTACTGTAAATAGAGAAACAGAGGGGAGAAAATGAGAAGAGGTATATATCTGACTGCTTATTTAAAAAAAATAAATAGCAAGACTGTTAGAACCTAGACGTAATTGAACACATTTCATTACATCTATCTAGAGAAAATTTAAATACTTCCTAAAAGGAATGCTGCTCTGTAATTTAATATCTTAACATACTGTAAATATAAAGAAAATGTATTTTAGAAATTGAATTAATCCATTTAAATACATCCCATAATCTACGTGCTTCCTTTTTATTTAAACCAGATGAGATGAAATAAGTCTTTGGGAACTTTACCTCCTTACTGACAATATGATTATGAATAACATTTGATGTAATATTTAATACTTTCTTTCTCTAACTTGGCAAAAATGAAGAGAATTAGAAAAGGTGACTGAAGTTAGTGTTGCAGAAAAGTAATTTTTATGAAATTGTCAAGTGATATTTCTATGTATAAAGTGTTGTTTTAGCTGGAACTTGTTCTTGGATGTTCTGTGGTTCATTTCCAGGTCCTTCAGCAGCTTTTAAATCACTGCAGAAAAAACAGAGATAAAGTTCTTCTTTTCTCCTTTTCCACCAAGGTGAGTTTTGTCCGAAGTATATTCCTGATTGGTCCCAGCCCTAAGTCCTGAGGCATAAGGGACATCAACAGCTTCCAACCACATTTTCTATCTTATACACACTGTGGGAATTGGTAGTGAGTGAGGTAAGCAACATGAAGTTTGAAAACAGATATTTAAATCTTGCTTATACAACAGTTACTGTCAAATAGCAAATTCAAAGGTACGTTTTTATTTTCTCTTGATGTTTTTGTTAATAATAACTGTTCTTCAAGACATTTTAGAACTTAGAAAATAGCACAGATAATAAAATATATTTATATATGATTTATCCAATAATTTTATTTGGTTTTATTAGTTTCTTTTAATTTAAAAAAATGAAAGATGGATTTTTGTTCTTTGGAAAGATTGACTTTTTTTTTTTAAAGCAAAGGTTGCAGAAAGTTAAAATCAGTTTAGGATAATGGGGAGAAATATATGGGTCAGAAGTGAGAAAAATATTTGTTTCTTGTAATTATAAGAAAGAGGTTGTGAGCAACAATAACCTGATCTCTGTAATGGTGTGAAACACATTCAGCCCAGAATTAGTACCTACCTTTCCTCTAGTTGTGGAGCCCTGGTGGTACAGTGGTTAAGAGCTCAGTTGCTAACCAAAAGGTCAGCAGTTCGAATCCACCGGCTGCTCCTTGGAAACCCTATGGCGCAGTTCTACTCTGTCCTGTAGGGCCGCTGTAAGTTGGAATCAACTCAGTGGCAACAAGTGTCTTTTCCCCTTTAGTTGCTTGATGTGCTGCAGCAGTACTGTATGGCAGCTGGGCTCGATTTCCGACGACTTGACGGGAGTACAAAGTCAGAGGAAAGAATCAAGATCGTGAAGGAGTTCAACAGTGCACAAGATGTTAATATTTGCCTCGTCTCCACAATGTGAGGAAATAAACTTTGATCACTTGATTTTTATCTAATTGTTTTTAAGATTTAAAACAGTTTTTTAAAATGATCCCTGTATTAATTTTCAGTGGTTATTGTTTAAATTGCTTTGTTTTATTTGGCTTTAAGGAGAAGCAGGAAAAATGCTATTAATTATGACTGAAATAACAGTATCTTGAGTTTACCTACCTTTTATTTCATTTATTTATCATCGCTGAATTCTCCTTATAAGTCTGGGTTTATAAAGATCACAATAAAAAGTGGCTCTTTCCTTCTAGGAATTTTCTTTGGTGATATTTTGGCTCATGTCTTCGTGTCTTGTGGTTAGAACAATCAGACTTCTTATTAACTGGATAACTGAGAATCATTTGTAGCAGTGGCTTTCCAACCATGCTCTAGAAGCCATGGGGAGCTCACGAGGCCCGCAGGCCAGGTGTTTTCCCTCCTGTGCCTCTACCTTGTCTCAACCAGAGCAGTTCCACTTTTATAGGTTTTATAAAGGTAAAATCAGTTCTAACACCTATTTACGAATTTCTAATGAAGACCCTTTTAAAAAATGTACATGCTTTAAAGAAAAATTTACATCAATATAAACACCTCAATAAAATTCCTTTTTTTTGGGGGGTCATAAATCCGTAAGTTTTGACATCTAATATACAATAAGAATTCTGTAGATTCACTTTCACTCTCTTCCAAAAAGAATTTTAGGGGACTTTAAAAATAAATGTATGTAAAAGGAAAAAAAGTAAAAATGAAATCAGAATAAAAGTCACTTAAAATGAGGAATAAAATGATACATGGAATGAGTAAGCTACTGCTGTCAAACACTGAAATTATTCTTGAATTCTTGCAGCTAAGGCAAAGGAGAAGCTGTGAATGAATATAAGAAATAATTTCTCACATGAGTCTTTACATAAAGACATTAGATAACATGATGAATACTGTCTTCACTTATGTTTTGTAAAACACACGTTGTTGCTTTTAGTTGCTGTTGAATCAGCTCTGACTCATGGCGACCTTATGTATAGGGGAACAAAACTTTCCTGGTCCTTTGCCATCTTCCTGATTGTTGGTGTGTTTGAGTCCATTGGACTCAAAACACACATAAACTTCTTAATTTTTAACTAATGGTTTTCAAAGTAATAAATGCATTAAGTAACAGATCAAAGAATACAGAAAAACTCATGATAGGCATCAGTCTCTCACTCTTCTTCTGCTTACCCCAGTCTAATTTTCTGAGATATTCAAGAAATTTCCTAATTATCTCTTTAATTCTATCAGAAATGACTATTTAACCCATCCATTGGGTTCTTAATTTTTAAAGACTATATTTTTCATTTTTAGAAGCCCTATTCTTTTCTTTTTCAAATCTGCCTGATCATTTTTACTTGTGTTTTGTTCTTTATGGGTTCTAGCCTTTCTTTTGTTTTTTGGTTTTGTTTTTTTTTTTTTTGTCATTTAAATCATACTTTTAAAAAACCCTCCTTTTGAATGTTTGATTTTGCTCTATTAACTTCTGTACTTGGGGGTGTTAATGCCTCTATTTGTTATTTCCTTTGGCTCTTATGGTAGATTTTTTCTTCACGTATTTTGTGATTTTTTTATTTTGAGCTTATCTTCAGTGGGGCTTTTTCTTTGAAGACTTTTTCTTTTGAGTTTTCCACTAGTGTGGTTTTGCCTCTGCTTCTGCTAGGCATCCTAACTAAGGCAAGAGAAGAAGTTTTGGATCCTTGTTTTCCTGTGACTGAATTCAGGGAGCAATTTATTACGTAAGTTTGTATATAAAGAACATAACATAATAAATACATTCCAACTATGTTTTGCAAAAGACACATAAGCAATAACCAGAACCAATTGTTATGTTAGTTTTTCTACTTAGACACTACCTTGGATTGGAAATATGGCCTAAATTTGCATGAGGCTCAAATCTGGACTTCTATTTTTTGTAGCAATGTTTCATTTTCACCCTTCATTTACATCTTGGTAGATACAAACTTCTTTTTCTCACTATGTCACTGTACAGATTTTTTTTTTCCCCCCGAGTCTACCCTTGTGAAAGCAGATTACCTAGTAAAACAGTAAAGGAACTGTTTAGTCCTGGTGAGAGATAACTTGACCAAGGGTGGTGGTGTTGGAATAAAGAGAAGTGAGTAGATTCAAGATATGTTTTGGAGGTGCTGGTGGTATCAGTAGTGAGGCCGAAAAAATAGTGAAGAACATCTTTAGTTGGCTTGAACAGCTGGCTGGTTAATGGACGATTTACTGTGTTGGGCAAGGAGTGGATTTTCAGGAGAGGATCCAAACTTCAGTTTTGGACATACTAACTTTGAGATATCAAATAAGCAGTCGGTGCATGTATCTAGAGCTCAGAAAAGAGGCCTGGACTAGTGAATAATTAAATAAATTGTCAGGAGTCATCTGATAGGATCACCTGGGGAGAGCTTGGAGAGAAGATGAAAAGATGAGTCCTAAAGTGATACAGCATGGAAAGGCCACTTAAAAGAACGTGCAACAAAGTGACAGAGAAGAATTGCCAGTGAAGTAGCTAGGCAACCAGTACACTGCAGTGTTACAAAAACCAAGAGAAGAGAGTATTTAAAGAAGGAAAAAATATTTAGCTATGTTGAATTCTGTGAAGATAACTGATTTTTTTTTCTTTGATTTGACATTCATTGATGACTTTGATAAGAGTAGCATTTGAGGAGTCATGGTAGTACAGTGGTTAAGAGATTGACTGCTAACCAAAAGGTCGGCAGTTCAAATCCACCAGCTGCTTCTTGGAAACCCTATGGGGCAGGTCTAGCCTGTCCTATAGGGTCACTATGAGTTGGCTATGGGTTTGGTTATTGGTTTGGTGGTAGAAGGCAGTTTATAATGTGTTAAAGAAAGAATTGGAGGCAAGGAAATGGAGACCTTATGTGTAGCAATTTTTTTTTTTCCCCCAGAAAATGTGGCTTTGAAGGGAATCAGAGAAATAGAGGACATGATTAAAGGGGAGTATGGGTTTTTATTGTTTTTAAGAAGGAACTTTGTTGATGAGAATGATTCAAATAACTTAAATGCTCTAAATTCTTATTTTAGAAGTTTTTTTTTTTTTCCAAAAAAGTTTATTTTGTGTGACAGGTTAAGAGGCCTGATGCAGAATGCCATTAGAGCATGATAAACAAAGAACAGTTGAGCCAGGAGACCTTACTATTAATAAAAATGGTAATAATGATTCCCAGTGCCTAGTGTAAAGTACCAACACAGTGATAGGGCTGCCATAATAATAATATTTGTTATCATTATTATTATTAACTTGTTTGTCCATTTCATTGATGGAGGTGGACTGTTGGATCTTTAGCATTCATTCTGTATATACGATTCTCTTCTATTTGGTGAACTTAGAATCCGTCAGAACAGTCTTCCTAGTAGACTTTGTTGGTGTAGGGAGACATGGAGTGATACATAAAGCCTGAATACACTTTGATGCCAGGTTGAATATATACCACAGGATGGAGTAGTATATATTCAGGATACTACCTAAATATGTGCAGGATGAGTTGATAAAAGAAAAAAGAATTCATTAAAGGTATATTAAACTGTTCATGGGCATTTATTTCTAGCTGGCTCCCCTCCCCCCAAATATTACTATATTTATTGGTTTTAAGCTATTTATATTCATGTGTTTTAATAAAGGAGTTTTATTTTAAAGTTTTGAAATTCATGTCTAAAAATCTACATTTAAACAAAAGTCAGCTATGTAATTTGTACCATGTGTTTGAGATGACAGCACAACTTCGGAGCAGGATACCTAAATTTCAGGATCAACTTTTAAATACCATTTACTAATATTTATACACAGGATAATTTAAAAAAATATTTTATTGTGTTTTAGGTGACAGTTTACAGAGCAAATTAGATGTGTTTCAGGTGAAAATTGACAGAGGAAATTAGTTTTCCATTCAACAAATTATACACAAAGTGCTCTATGACATTGGTTGCAATCCCCACACTGTCAACACTACCCATTTCCGCCCTGGGTTCCCTGTTTCCTTTCGTCTAGTTTTCCTACCCCTTCCTGCCTTCTCATCCTTACTTTTAGGCAAATGTTGCCTTTTTGGTCCCGATTGTTTGTTCTATAGAGCATGTTTTTTGGGGGGTGTTATTGTTTATTTTACAGGCCTATCTATTGCTTGGCTGGAAAGTGATTTCAGGAAATGGCTGCAGTTTCAACTCAGAGTGCTGTCTTAGGGCTGTAGTCTCAGAGGTTCCTCCAGTCACTTATAAGGCCAGTAAGTCTGGCCTTTTTCATGAATTTGATTTTTTGTTCTACATATGTCTCCCGTTGTGTCCTGGGCACCCCGTATTGTGCTCCCGGTAAGAGCAGTCAGTAGTGATAGCCGGGCACTATCTAGGTCTTCTGGTCTCGGGGTCATGTAGGCTGTGCTGCATGTGACCAGAATCCTTTTTAAAACAAGTTGTCTTGATAACACCTTTAAATTTTTATTCTTTTATTTTTTCCCATACAAAAATTTATGCATACATTGTTATGTGACTTTAATTGCTCTCCCCATACTGTGACAGCACACTCCTCCTTTCCACCCCTGATTCCC